GATCACAAGTTCGAGTTTGGGCTTTGGTCGTGTAGTCTTCAACTATGTATTTGACTTTCAGTCACAACTATGTCTTTCGGCCACATGAGCTTGGACATCGACCATATGAACTTGCCTCCACAAGGCAATAAGGAACTTGAAGTTTTCTTTCTTATCTTCTTATCTTGAGTGGTATGGTGGTTTTCCCCACCATTCTAAGAGCAATTAAACATATGCGTACTCAAGAGGTGCATGCTGGCCTTCATGCAGTCATTTTTAACAAGCTGTCAACCAATTCTAACCATACAAGAATATAATGTTAATTTCATCAACAAAAATCATTTTCAATGTAGTCTAAAGTTTCGCCCATGTATGAATCAATACGTAGGTTTAGTAGCATTTAGCTATTTGAGCAGCATATGACTAGATTCAAATTCAACCGTTTATAAAGTCATAAATGAAACTATTCTCATCTCCTAAATGTAAGAGGAATAAGTAAAATACATTGGCGTGTCATATATATATAATCAATTTAAAAGTTTCTGATCATACGGCTTTCGGATCATGGCTTCACCAACAATAAAAAATTAGCTGTTGTAAAAAATAGCACTTGACATATCATAAGCTCATGAGTAACTGCCGTTAATCGCCTAAGTTACAAGCACTTTACTATTATATTGTTTGTTATGAACTTATGTTACACCAAACCAAAACCTGGGACGAAAATGCCCAAATTACACGTTGTGAAAGAATGTGATGAGATCTCGTGGAAAATTCCGTTGAACAGGCTGGAGAAATATATAATCCCTTTTGGCACTTCCGTCTCCATCGTGTTCATTTCGTCTCCTTCCTTTTCTTCAACGAATTTGACTGAGATGGTGACAGGTGAAGTCAGATATACAGGTCAACACACGGAAACATTAAAAAGTCGTTTAACTTTAGAGTCGCGCCGTGAGTTTTCTGAAACTTTCACATATAATATGTTCCTACTTTTCTACTTGTAATATTCTTGCGAATAATAATAATAATATATCCCTCACTCCCGTCCCCATTTTCCTCTGTTTCAAACTTTTTTTTTTTTTTGGTTAAAACAAAAAAAAAAAAAAAAAAAAAAAAAAAAAATGTTTTTTTGTCTTTTATTTCATTGTCTCTTCTTCTTCTTCTTTTTCTATGAATTTGATGATAAAGACAACCACCTTAACACCAAACTCCACGTTCCAGTCCAACCTCAACCGCCTTCTCTCCACCCTCTCCTCCAACGCCACCCGTCCCTCCGGCTTCTACAACGGCACCGCCTCCTCCTCCTCCCCAAACGACACCGTCTACGGCCTCTTCCTCTGCCGCGGCGACGTCGCCGCCACCGACGCTTGCAAAACCTGCGTCTCCACCGCAACCTCCGAGGCCGTCCAGCTCTGCCCCATCGAGAAACAGGTTGTCATCTGGTACGACGACTGCATGCTGCGCTATTCCAACGAGTCCTTCTTTTCCACCGCCGCCGAGTCGCCTGGCCTTTTCATGTGGAACACCCAGAACGCCACCGAACGGACCCGGTTCAATCAGGTCCTGGCGACGGGCATGAACGACGTGGCCACCGAGGCTGCCAACGACGCCGACAAGTTCGCAACGAGTCAGGCGAATTTTAGCGCGTTGGTTTCGGTTTACAGCCTGGGGCAGTGCACGCAGGACCTGTCCGCAGCGGATTGCAACGGGTGTCTCAGGGGAGCCATAGCCCAATTTCCGACTTGTTGCAATGGAAAGCTCGGGGCACGAGTTTTGTATCCGAGTTGTACCGTTAGGTACGAAGTCTACCCTTTCTACCGCCAAAACTCCACATCAGCACCTCAGCCTTCAACGGGGCCTCTACCTCCTTCTCCTCCTCCGCCGCCGGCGCCTAAAGGTAAAGTGAAGTGACCATATTCAATCCTCTGTTCTAATTAATAATCATATTGAACCTATATATCATATTCAATCGTTTTGGTCTTGCAATTAGTGGTAACATGGCCCCAAAATATGCTATGGAGGGACTGTATTCCATAAAATCTGATATCTTCAGCTTCGGAGTGCTTTTGCTTGAGATCACAACAGGAAGAAGAAGCTTTTTAGGCTTTCATCCCACAAAATGTGCACCTACTCTTATTGGTTTTTTTTTTGGTCAAGACCTACTCTTATTGGCTATGTACGGTTAAATCATACAAAAGTTTCTCAAACTAGCTAATACATGTAGCTATCAATGTAAGAGTTTTTACTTACATGCTTAAAATGTATTAATTGCAGGCTTGACAATTATGGAACGAAACGAAGGGGTTGGAGTTGATGGATCCGTTGTTGAAAGACTCATGCAGTCCAAATGAATTTTTGCGATACATCCATATTGGATTATTGTGTGTTGAAGAAGATGCCAACAACAGGCCAACCATGTCATCGGTTGTTGTAATGTTAAACGGTGAAGCTACTAGTCTTGCCAGACCTGAGAGACCAGCCTTCTTTACAGGAAGATGTATTGAACATCATGATCAAGAAAATGCTCAAAATTGCTCAGCCAATGATTTGACGATTTCTATTGATGTTCCCCGTTGAGACAGATGACAATTTTCTAAATATAATCTTCACACATTATGAAGTTGGCCTTTGATAAAATGGAAGACAAAATTTCGTCGGCATTTTTTTATTTTCTCCTGTCAAGACCATAAGATAATTACTAAAAAGAAGCCCAACGGCACTTCACAAACTGTAAACAGGATTAAGGGACAAGGCCGAAAACATAACAAAACAAGTATCCAAAGCAAATGAACCAAAGTAGGCCCAACACGTACAGAACAACAAAACAAGACCCGGCAGTAAAAAAAAAAGAAGACCACATAATTATGAACACATAACCGAAATACATGAATAATTGTCGTTAATCGCCTACGTTACAAGCCCTTTGTTATTACATTGTTTGTTATGAACTTTGTGGTACACCAAACCAAAACCTGGGACGAAAATGCACAAATTACACGTTGTGAAAGCATGTGATGAGACCTCGTGGCACTTCCGTCTCCATCGTGTTCATTTCGTCTCCTTCCCTTTCTTCAACGAATTTGACTGAGATGGTGACAGGTGAAGTGAGATATACAGGTCAACACACGGAAACATTAAAAAGTCGTTTGACTTTAGAGTCTAGCCGTGAGTTTTCTGAAACTTTCACATGTAATATGTTCCTACTTTTCTACTTGTCATATTCATGCGAATAATAATAATGAATATCAATATGATAATATCTCCCTCTCTCTCCCCAAACGAGACTGGCCTCACTCCCGTCCCCATTTTCCCCTGTTTCAAACTTTTGTTTTTTGTCTTTTATTTCATTGACTCTTCTTCCTCTTCTTTTTCTATGAATTTGATGATAAAGACAACCACCACTGAGATAATATAGTTGAGAAATAGAAACAGGGAGGCTACTAGCTAGCTTAATTAGCTAAGCATAGGGGATGGCCTGGGCTGGCTTCATCAAGATCAAAATGCTTCCCATGGCTAATCTCATGCTTGTTTCCATTCTCTCCTCCATATTTGTTGTTACTCTGCTCAGCTTTCCCAGCCCAGCTGAAGCTGATTATCTATACCATGTCTGCCCAAACACTACCACTTTCACCCCGAACTCCACCTTCCAGTCCAACCTCAACCGCCTCCTCTCAACCCTCTCCTCCAACGCCACCCGCCCCTCGGGCTTCTACAACGCCACCGCCTCCTCCTCCTCCCCAGACGACCGCGTCTACGGCCTCTTCCTCTGCCGCGGCGACGTCGCCGCCACCGACGCTTGCAAAACCTGCGTCTCCAACGCAACCTCCGAGGCCGTCCAGCGCTGCCCCACCGAGAAACAGGTTGTCATCTGGTACGACGACTGCATGCTGCGCTATTCCAACGAGTCCTTCTTTTCCACTGCAGTCGAGTCTCCTGCCGTTTACATGTGGAACACACAGAACGCCACCGAACCGACCCGCTTCAACCAGGTCCTGGCCACCGGCATGGACGAGGTGGCCACCGAGGCTTCCACCGAGGCCGACAAGTTCGCGACGAGTCAGACCAATGTTAGTGGGTTGATTTCGGTTTACAGCCTGGGGCAGTGCACGCAGGACCTGTCCACAGCGGATTGCAACCGGTGTCTCAGGGGAGCCATAGCCCAATTTCCGAGTTGTTGCAATGGGAAGCTCGGGGGACGAGTTTTCAATCCGAGTTGTTACGTTAGGTACGAAGTCTACCCTTTCTTCCTCCAAAACTCCACGTCAGCACCTCAGCCTTCACCGGGGGCTCTACCTCCTCCTCCTCCTCCGCCGCCGCCTAAAGGTAAAGTGAAGTGACCAGCTTTTCAATTCAAATTATGTCTTGAAATTGTTTGGGGGAATAGGTATCTATGCTAACTAGGGTGCACTTTGGAACAGGGGAATATGGTTTTGGAGTTTGGCTGTTCATTTTACTAATTTCTTCATATTTAGTTTTATCAGTGTAGATTCTTATTGTTTATTATGCAGGAAAAAGCAAAATCCCTACAATTGTTGTCATTGTTGTCCCAATTGCCGTCTCTGTGCTACTTTTTGTTGTGGGCTGCTGTTTCATTACTAGGAGAGCAAGAAAGAAGCGCAGTGCAGCAGCAGAGGCACCAAGCGGTAAAGAATATATATCTGAAATGAATTCTAGTCTGTCATACAAATCAAAAGCATACTTTTGTTTCCTCATCTTTATACATGAATGCTTTTCTTGTTTGTTTGTGTAGGTGTGAATGACATTAGTAGTGTAGAGTCTTTGCAATTTGATTTTAGTACCATTTTAGCGGCCACGAACAATTTCTCTGATGATAATAAGTTAGGGGAAGGTGGATTTGGTCAAGTTTACAAGGTATGTATGTATATCAACGTTTCTGCATCGGAAAATCTCAAGTCTTAATATTTTGAGAAAACTAAGGAGGTTTTAATCAATACTGGGAATTGTAAAAGTTGTGCAAGAATGTACATTCCATCGATTCATTGATTGAAGGTTGTTCTCAGGGTATACTTTCAAATGGTCAAGAAGTAGCTGTGAAGAGGCTTTCAAGGAACTCTGGCCAAGGTGCAGAGGAATTTAAGAACGAGATGGTATTGGTAGCCAAGCTTCAACACAGAAATCTGGTCAGGCTATATGGATTTTGCTTGGAAGGAGAAGAAAAGATACTTGTTTATGAATATGTCTCCAACAAAAGCCTTGACTATTTTCTATTTGGTTTGTGCCCTGAAACATCTGATAGTCTTTTCTACTGCAAAAACAATGTTACTTCAACATGTATTTGAATCTGTTTCCTTGATGATAACTTGATTGCTCAATTTTGATGATTTTCAGACCCTGAGAAACAAGGACAATTGGATTGGTCAAGACGTTATAAGATTATTGCAGGGATTGCTCGAGGAATAATGTACCTACACGAAGATTCCCGACTTAGAATTATACATCGTGATCTCAAGGCTAGCAATATATTGTTAGATGGGGAGATGCATCCAAAAATATCTGATTTTGGCATGGCCAGGATTTTTGGGGTTGATCAAACTCAAGCAAACACAAGTAGAATTGTTGGAACATAGTAAGTTCTCTCATTCATCTTTTCTTTTCTCATCACCACTTTTGTTCTGCATTATCTGGATTGATGAATTTGAGAAATGGTCCCATCTGCACTCAACAGAAAGTCCACTTTGACCCTTGATATTATCTGTATGAACTCAGACAGGGATGATGTAATTTTTGAATCATACTTCATGCTCTATAAATAATGAAAGCCACTTAGTCTTACACGAAATTGAATGGATTAAATTATTGACATGAATATCATAAGTTTACTCCTTAAATTTTGCTACAGTTTCTATACCAATGGATGGTTTTGCTTCTTGCAGTGGCTATATGTCTCCAGAGTACGCAATGCATGGACAATTTTCTGTCAAGTCCGATGTATATAGTTTCGGTGTTTTACTGCTAGAAATCATAAGTGGCAAGAAGAACAGTTATTTCTTTCAAACTGATGCAGCTGAAGACCTCATGAGCCATGTAAGCTTAAACTGAAAACAATGTAGTTTTGTTCTTCTGCACTAACACCACCACAACATAAATAAAACTGTTCAATTTATGCAGGCTTGGAAACTATGGAGAGATGGGACGCCTTTGGAATTGTTGGATCCGAGTATGAGATATTCTTATTCCAGGAGTGAAGTTATAAGGTGTATCCATATCGGCTTACTTTGTGTTCAGGAAGATCCAGCGGACAGACCTACAATGCAATCCGTAGTTCTCATGCTTAATAGCTACTCTGTGACTCTGCCATTACCTGAACAGCCAGCATTTTTCCTTCGAAGTCGAACGGAGGGGAACATGCCAAAGATAACTTTGGAGTCTGATCTATCTATTAGTAAGTCAACTCCTTCCGTTGATGAAGCATCTATCACTGCAGTATACCCTCGATAGCGTGAATGAACAAGATGTTATATCTTGTATTATCTGTTTATATTTGTAATCACAAATGTGAAACTTGTACTCTTGGTTTCATACGACTGTTGTTAGGATTGAAAACGTCAAATGGTATTTCTGTCTTGTGAGTTTCAATATCATTGATTTTGATTTTTGAGCATAGATTTATCATCCACATAACGTGATTGACTAGGTTTTAAGTCTTCACATCTGTATCTTGGAAAGATCTCTCCTTTGTGGGTCTGGGTTGAATCTTCTGCAGTTTCGCGATGTGAATACCTAATAAATTTACAACCAGCCTAATTAGGTAGTTGTGCTTGTGGTCACATTACTCTCTTGTATTGATGAGAGTTATGGATAGGATACCATCTTCTTTTCTGGTCATCTTCATCTCCGCATAGGAGATAATGCGAAAAATGAAATACGTACAATGTGTGGGCCTGTAGCCTCGCTTGGTTGTATAAAACCGTACTCTTGTATTATTGCAGACTAAAAGTCTCAAAACCCTCTGTAGATGTAAATATTGAAAAACTGACGAAAAAGAAAAAGAAAGAATGCGGTTGGGCTGAAAGTTCTACCCAAGTCTCGACCCCCTTTGTGGACTGTGAGCTTAGAGGACCGCTACCTTAAAACACTCCAGTCAATTTATAATTACATCACACTGATGATGAAGCAAACACCTCTAAAAATTATGACTTTTAGATAAGCTTTTTAATTTCCACATGATTCAACTCTAAGGGACATAAGAAATTGGCTTTAGAAATAGAAACAGGGACTGGGCTGATCAGTGATCAAAAGATCATGAAAACCAAAATGTCTTCCGTGCATAATCTGATGCTTGTTTCCATTCTCTCCTCCATATTTGTTGTTACTCTGCTCAGCTTTCCCAGCCCAGCTGAAGCTGATTATCTATATAATGTCTGCCCAAATTGGGATCTAACCACCCCAATTGGTGCATTTCGCTCTCAAACATCTGGAAAATTTATCATCAATTTCGAGTCATGTCTGCAGATTTACATGAATGGATCCCTAACCAAATTGGGATAATTATATCCTATCAGATTGGCCTCCCGCTTCAGAAAAGTTCCTGCTTATATGCTGCTGGCATGGGCAAAAAGTGACACTATGAAGTTGGCCTGTGATAAAATGTTAGAAAAGATTACATTTCTTTTCTGGGTATACGTAGCTGTGGCAACGACTTATCATCCTACAGCGTAGCGGTCCCATGCATTAGGAACGTGATTGACAAGGCTTTAAGTCTTCACACCAATGTCTTGGAAAAGTTTTTCTCATTTGTGGGTCTGTCTGGGTTGAATCCTTCATGGTTTTGTGGTTACCTACTCCCTTTAAATTCTGGCACACAAGGCACTAATTCAATCTATACGAAATTGACAACCGGCTTAATTAGGTAGTTGTGTTCACATCATTGTCCTGTATTGATGACTGGAGTTATGGATGCATCTTTATTTTTCTGGTCATCTTCGTATGTCTCTACGTACAAGAATATATAAAATGAAATACGTACAATTTGTGGAATATTCTTAATAATGACGGCCACCATTGCGACGGCGACATGAAGTGGTGGCAGGAAGGAAATGGGGTCAGCTCAGCTCAGCTCAGCTGGTTATATGAATCAATCAATGTGTGAGGGTAATATAACAATGACTCTTGCCATATTCTCGGTCAGTTGTATAAAACCATACTCTTCTATTATATCAAGATGTAAAATATTGGAAAATTATTGAGGAAAAGGAAAAGGCAAGAACACAGTTGGGCTGAAAATTCTACCCCTCCCGTCTCCAATTCATCAAAGACTTTTCAATAACTTCTACTTTCCACATGATTCAACATCATAGGGGCTTCTTCACAACTTCCTTCAATAAAGGACAAAAGTTGACTCCGACCTTAACACTCCTGTCAATTTATGAGTACATCACAATCCTGACCAGAGCAAACACGCCAAACTCGGCCTAAAGGCATATTAGCTCACCTAAACCCGTCTTATTTACACCTTGTAGGAGGTGATCGTGATCATCAGGAAGAGGTTATTGATTTGATTATCAAAATGCCTTCCTTCAATCTCAATATGTTGATGACCCTTGTGCTTGCCTTGCTTAGCCTTAGCAGTTTGAGTGAAGCTGAATACCGCTACCACTTCTGTTCTAACACAACCAGTTTCACTCCCAACAGCACCTACGAATTCAATCTTAATCTCCTCCTCTCTTCTCTCACCTCCAACGCCACCCGTGAACTCGGTTTCTACAACACCACCGCTGGCTCCCAAGATCCCAACGCTGCAGTTTATGGCTCCTTTCTATGCCGTGCTGATCTCACATCCGATGCATGCCAAATTTGTGTGGCTACTGCAGCCAATGAAACGGTCCAAAAGTACTGCCCCTTAAGAAAAGTCACTATAATTTGGTACGATGATTGCATGTTACGCTACTCAAACGTGTCTTTTTTGGGCAATATGGACGAAGCCCCAAGAATTTATTTGTGGAACACGGGAAACATTACTAATCCAAACCGGTTTAATGAGATACTGGCGGAAACAATCACCAGCTCTGTGCCGGTAGCAGCAAATGCGACCTCCGGTAATAAAAAGTTTGCGACAAAAGAAGCAAACTTTACAGCGTTTCAGGAGTTGTACAGCCTTGTGCAATGCACACCGGACCTGTCAACCACCGACTGTAATCGGTGTCTTCGGGGAGCTATTGCGCTTCTTCCTGAATGTTGTTATGGGAAGCAAGGAGGAAGAGTTTTGTATCCTAGTTGTAATGTTAGATATGAATTGTATCCATTTTATACATTTCTTACTGCCCCTCCTCCGCCACTGCTTCTTCCTCCTCCACCTCCAGCTTCACTTACAAGGTCTCAAGGTAAAATTAATTAATAGCAGCTGGGCTAAGCTATAGCTCATGTATTTGTTCGAATTGGTTAATTATATATTTAGAAAGCAACGGTTGTAGAACTAATTTACACAAACATAGGGATGACCATTAATTTGTGTCTAATACTCTGTGCAGGAAATGATGACCAAATCTCAACTTTGATTATAGTGGCCACTGTGGTTCCAATTGCCATATTGCTCTTCTTGGTAGGCTGCTGTTTCTTTAGAAGGAGAGCAAGGAAAAAATACAATGTTATACAACAACAAAATGGTAAAAAAATACATTGAAAAGTTTTATAACTTCCTTTCCAGACCCAACTTATGTATTCTCCTCTCTTGAATTGAACTATTTGATTCCTAATCGTGTTCACTAGTTTATTAGTCCATAATTAATTAATACCTCCTACCTCTTGATTGTGTAGTGGGGAACGAAATTAATAGCGTGGAGTCATTGCAGTTTGATTTGCGTACAATTGAAGCAGCCACAGACAATTTCTCTTATCAGAACAGATTAGGGGAAGGTGGCTTTGGTGAGGTTTATAAGGTTGGGATTTTGGCTTACCAAATCTGGCGAATTTTAAGTCATGCCAGAGTTCATCAAAATGTATTAAACTCATGAAAGTTATACTTGGATGTTTGTAAAGATCATTGGTTGCAATATTTTCAGGGCACACTTCCTGATGGGCAACAAATAGCTGTGAAGAGGTTATCTAGAGACTCCGGGCAAGGTGCCGAAGAGTTTAAAAATGAGGTGGTTTTGGTAGCTAAGCTTCAGCACAGAAATTTAGTGAGGCTATTGGGATTTTGCGCTGAAGGAGAAGAAAAGATACTTGTTTACGAACTTGTGGAGAACAAAAGCCTTGACCACTTTCTATTCGGTTTGTGCCCTTCTAACATCTTGTGTGATACCATATGCTATTTGATTAGTTGTTTTACTTATTCTAACCTGTATACTTTTATTGGACAAATGTGTGCATAGACTCTGAGAACCACGTAAAATTGGATTGGTCAAGCAGATACAAGATTATTGGCGGGATTGCTCGAGGGCTTCTCTATCTCCATCAAGATTCTCCGCTTAAAATCATACATCGCGATCTTAAAGCAAGCAACATATTGTTAAATGGGGACATGAACCCAAAAATTGCAGATTTTGGCATGGCAAGAATAGTTGGAGTCGACCAAACTCAAGGCAATACAAGAAGGATTGTGGGAACAATGTAAGTAATAACAAACTTTGTTTATGTTCACATAATCTGCACAAACGAGTTGATTGATTTTCTCATCCTGAAAAGTAATTACTAGAAAGAAAAGATATCAAATTGATATCTCAAGAATTCACCTCAACTCAGACAAGATGGAGAAGCTCTGTTCTTCCGCTAGTGTTATCAGATAGGCACTATTGGGTACCTTGTTTATGAATTACAAGTTAATTGACACACTGACTGCTAGATGAGTTTTAACATGTTCACACTGCATTAGAACTAATATTAGAACTTTATTGATGCTGCTGGTTTGTAGTGGTTACATGTCTCCAGAATATGCAATGCATGGACAGTTCTCTGTGAAGTCCGATGTGTACAGTCTTGGTGTCCTGATCTTAGAGATTGTAACTGGCAAGAAGAACACTAGTTTCTATAACTCAGACCGTGGGGAAGACCTCTTGAGCTATGTGAGTATAAGTTGAATATTGTAATATGCATCTCATGGTTAATCTTTTTAGAATGAGTCTCTTGAAAAAGAAAAAAAAATTTGCAGGCTTGGAGACATTGGAGGGACGGGACACCCTTAGAATTATTGGATCCAAATCTAAGAGATTCTTATGCAAAGCTGAAGTAACTAGATGCGTCCACATCGGGTTACTCTGTGTTCAGGAAATTCCAGATGAGAGACCCACAATGCAATCCATAGTTCTCATGCTAAGCAGTTACTCTGTCAGTATGGCATTACCCCAAAAGCCAGCACTTTTCCTGCATAGTAGATCAGAGCTGCACATGCCATCACTAACCACTGAATCATCTGATCAAACTACTAGCAAGTCGTTGCCATTTTCTGTTAACGAAGTATCAATTACTGAATTATACCCGCGTTAGTGTATATTGAACAAAGCGTGATCAATCTTTCAGGACTGTGCTTTGGAAGTACTATGATTTTGTTTCATTTCTCTATGCTTTTCATGGTTGCACTAGCTGTTCTGTTTCTTATTAGTCTCTCCTCCATAGGGGCTGTTGTACCTCTTTCCCATGATCCAGATTAAAGGCAAAGTTAATCCATCGGTTAAGATGTAATCAAATAGTTTTTTTTTTGGTTGAAAATTAGTGATAGTCAAATTTATTAATTTTGGTTTTTTCTCACTCACCCAATCCCATGATATTATCACTTTTGCAATTTATTTTTTTTGAAATGTATTTTTTAATCTCCAAACAGCGCACACATTGCCATGAATATGCATACCATCTTCATCTCATTTCTCTCTTGTTATGCCCAAACCTTTCTGAAATGATAAGAAGTTGCTGCCATTGACCCAAAAAATAAAAGGTTAAGTTCCAATGAAATAAAAATGCTTTATAATTATTCTTACAAAAATATTGTAAGCTCAAGTGTTTCAAATTGCTTACCCCTACATCTAAGGTCTTAGGTAAGGGTGGGTATTGAGATCGAAAAATTAGAAACCACATGAAACCGGATTGAAAAAAACCGTTAAAAACCAAGTTAACCAACAAATCAAAAAATCAAACCGGACCAGTTCAACTCAATTCCTATTTCAATTTGACATCTCAAAAACCTGGTCCACATCAAACCAGATCAATTGTGTAAATATATAATTTTTTTAAAGCCCAATATTCAAACATTTAAGGTCCTATCCCAACTAAAAAGCCCAAATCAAACTCCAGTCCACCTTTATTGGCCCATTCCACCACTAAAAAGCCCAAACGTTTTTTTTTTTGGGTCAAACCCCAAACATTAATTCATTTCCCCAAAGTAGCATGTTGAAAAGAAAAGCTCCGCTTTCCCATGCATTATCACTTTGAAATTTGATCCCACACGCCACAACTTGATACACCATGTAGTTCGCGTATCATCTGCCAAATGTAGGATATGTGGAATATTTTTAAGGGAGTTTCATTAAAACACCCAAAATGGAGGTTGAAATTATAAAAAAACCCAACACCCAAAACACTTTATAAACACACCCAAAACCCATCATTACACACACTCAAAACCCATTTATAAACACACCCAAAAAGTTGACTTTGTGGTTGATTTTGGGTGTGTTTCTATGTTTAAATAGTACTTGGGTTTTTTTATAAATACATGTCTAGGATTGGGTTTATTTATAAATTTGTATATTTTTAATGCAATTAGATATATATCATAAATAGCTGAAGAATAATTTCACATAGCCAAATGTATACTAGATGACATACTAGACAGGTGGTGTATCCGAAACATATAAAAATGTCTCCAAAACATCTCTCTCTCTCTTCCCTTTTTTCTTCTTCTTCTCTGCGATTCTTCGACTTTACGACTTTACGACTCTCTCTCTCTTCTTTTTCATTTTTCTTCTTCTACTTCCTCTTTCTTTCCTTCTTTCTTTGTTTCTCTCCTTTTTTATTTCTTCTTCTTTTGCGTTTCTGTTTTTCTCCTTGACGCTTGAACTCAAAAACAAAAAAAGATTTAAAATGAACGTAAATACCGGGAAATTGAGGAAAAAGGAAATGCAAAAACACGTTTCCGCATGATTCACAATCACTGGGGCCTCTTCACTCTTTCCTTCAATAAAGGACAAAAGTTGGCTGCAACCTTAACACTCCGGTCAATTTGACGAGAGCAAAACACGCGAAACAGGGCCTAAACTCTTCTTATGTATACATTGTAAGAGGAAGTGATCGTGACCATCAAGTAGAGATTATTGATTATCAAAATGCCTTCCTTTAATCTCAATGTGTTGATGACCCTTGTGCTTGGCTTGCTTAGCCTTAGCAGTTTGAGTGAAGCTGATTATCGCTCCCACGTCTGTTCTAACACAACCCGTTTCACTCCCAACAGCACCTACGAATTCAATCTTAATCTGCTGCTCTCTTCACTCACCTCCAATGCCACCCGTGAACTTGGTTTCTACAACACCACCGCCGGCTCCCAAGACCCCAACACTGCAGTTTACGGCTCCTTTCTATGCCGTGCCGATCTCACATCAGATGCATGCCAAGATTGTGTGGCTACTGCAGCCAGAGACGCGGTCCAAGAGTACTGCCCCTTAAGAAAAGTCACCACAATTTGGTACGACGATTGCATGTTACGCTACTCAAACGTGTCTTTTTTTGGCCATATGGATCAACACCCAAAAGTTTATTTGTTTAGCTCGGGAAACGTTACTGAACCAATCCGGTTTAATCAGTTGCTGTCGAAAACAATCACTGAATTGGTGCCTGTGGCAGTAAATGCGGCCTCCGGTTCTAAAAAGTTTGCTACAAAAGAAGTGAACTTTACAGGGTTTCAGGACTTGTACAGCCTTGTGCAGTGCACGCCAGACCTGTCAAGCACCGATTGTGATGGGTGTCTTCGAGGAGCTATTGCGCTTCTTCCGGCTTGTTGTAATGGGAAGCCAGGGGCAAGAGTTTTGTGTCCTAGTTGTAACGTTAGATATGAATTCTATCCATTTTATACTAGAGTTGCTGCCCCTTCTTCACCACCAACACCACTGCTTCTTCCTCCTCCACCCCCAGCTTCAGTTTCAAGATCTCAAGGTAAAAATAATTATTAGCAGCAGGGGTAGCTCATGTGTTTGTTCTAATTGGTAAATTATAAGAAAGCAATGCTTTTAGAGTTTTTACATATACATAGGGAACCGTTAATTTGTGTACTAATATTCTGTGCAGGAAATGATGACCAAATCTCATCTTTACCCATAGTGGCCATTGTGGTTCCAATTGCCATATTGCTCTTCTTGGTAGGCTGCTGTTTCTTCAGAAGAAGAGCAAGGAAAAAGTACAATGTTAAACAACAACAAAATGGTAAACACTGGAAAGTTTTTCTTTGGTCAAGGAACACTGAAAAGTTTTATAACTTCCTTTCCAGACCCAACTTATGCATTATTTTCCAGACCTAATCGTGTTCAGTAGTTACTTAGTTCATAATTAATTCCTTCTTCTTCTTGATTGTGTAGTGGGGAGCGAATTGCAGTTTGATTTGCATACAATTGAAGCAGCCACAGAAAATCTCTCTCTGATCAGAACAGGTTAGGGGGAGGTGGCTTTGGTGAGGTTTATTAGGGTTGTGATTTTGCTACTACATATATAATTTGTGTACAAAAAAAAAAAAAAAAAAAAAAAAAAAAAAAAAAAAAAAATGAAATCAATCATGAAGTCATGCCAGAGTTTAACAGAATGTATTAAATTCACGGAAGTTATACTTGGATGTTTGTAAAGATCATTGGTTACAATATTTTCAGGGTACTCTCCCGGATGGGCTACAAATAGCTGTGAAGAGGTTATCTAGAGGCTCTGGGCAAGGTGCCGAAGAGTTTAAGAATGAGGTTGTTTTGGTAGCTAAGCTTCAGCACAGAAATTTAGTGAGGCTACTGGGATTTTGCTCTGAAGGAGAAGAAAAGATACTTGTTTACGAACTTGTGGAGAACAAAAGCCTTGACCACTTTCTATTCGGTTTGTGCCCTTCTAACATCATGTGTGATACCATATGCTATTTGATTAGTTTTTGATACAATCACACTTCAATTTCTAATTCACAAACCAAGAACATTCCCAATAGTCAAAGCCACTGCGGAAAAGAAAATATCTTTCAGAATTCTGCATGTCTATTAATTTACTTATTCTAACCTGTATATTTTATGGACAAATGTGTGCATAGGCTCTGAGAACCAAGTAAAATTGGATTGGTCAAGCAGATACAAGATTATTGGCGGGATTGCTCGAGGGCTTCTCTATCTCCATCAAGATTCTCGGCTTAAAATCATACATCGTGATCTTAAAGCAGGCAACGTATTGTTAGATGGGAACATGAACCCAAAAATTGCAGATTTTGGCATGGCAAGAATATTTGGTGTTGACCAAACTCAAGGAAGCACAAGAAGGATTGTGGGAACATAGTAAGTAACAGAACTTTGTTTATGTTCACATAATCTGCATAAACGAGTTGATTGTTTTTCTCATCCTGAAAATTAATTACTAAAAAGAAAAGATATCAGATTGATATCTCAACAATTCATCTCATCTCAGACAACATGAAGAAGCACTGTTAATGCAGTCTTCCCCCAACTGTTATCATATATGCATTATTGGTTACCCTGTTTATGAATTATAAGTTAATTAAGACACTGATTGCTAGATGAGCTTCAACACTCTGTATTTGGATTTACATTACTTTGATGATGTTGCTGGTTTGTAGTGGTTACATGCCTCCAGAATATGCAATGTATGGACAATTCTCTGTGAAGTCCGACGTGTACAGTCATGGTATCTTGATCTTAGAGATTGTAACTGGCAAGAAGAACACTAATTTCTATAACTCGGACCATGGCGAAGACCTCTTGAGCTATGTGAGTATAAGTTGAATATTTAAATTTGCATTTCATGGTTAATCTTTTTACTGCAACATTTTGAATGAGTCTCTTACTAAATTAAAAATTAAAAATTTGCAGGCTTGGAGACATTGGAGGGATGGGACACCCTTAGAATTATTGGATCCAAATCTAAGAGATTCTTATGAAAAAACTGAAGTAATTAGATGTGTCCATATTGGGTTACTCTGTGTTCAGGAAAATCCAGATGAGAGACCCACAACGCAATCCATTGTTCTCATGCTAAGCAGTGACTCTGTTACCATGGAATTACCTCAAAAGCCTGCATTTTTCATGCATTGTAGAACAGAGTTGAATATGCCATCATTAACCACCGAATCATCTGATCCAACTGCTAGCAACTTGTTGCCGTTTTCTGTTAACGAAGCATCAATTACTGAATTATACCCCCGTTAGTGTATATCGAACAATCTTGCAGGACTGTACTTTGGAAGTTCTTTGATTTTGTTTCATTTCTCTATGCTTTTCATGGTTGATCTAGCTGTTTTGTTAATTGTTGGTTCAGTTAGTCTCTGCTCCATAGGCATAGGGGCCTCTGTATTGGTTTGGTTGCCGTTGTAGCGTTGTCTTTATTTGCCAGTGTTTGCTTCTTTGAAAATTTAAATACTAATGATTTAGTAACTAAATAATAATTACAGCATAACTACTAATTAAGTAATTAAAAAAGAGAAATCCATATTATAGCCGCCCGGCTATACTGTTGAAACTTTCAATTTAAAGGGGATAGCCGGCTATACTTTTAAAACTTTCTATTTAAATGGTGCTGCTGTACGGTATATAGCTGCGTGGCTGTACTATTCAAAAATTTAAAAGGGCAAGTAAAGTGGTTGACCCATAGCTTTGCACATGTTCGCGATGAAATATTTCAAGCCTAGGCCGTCTTGGATTTACAATTAAAATGGCAGAGCTCAAATTAAATCTAGTGAGCTAATTTGTATCTATCCTGCTGGTGCATAAGCTCAGAAGCAATATTTTCATATAAATTCAAATTATATTATTTATATATATTCATTATACGGGTAGCATTCACGCTGATTCAAATATTATATATAAAGAAGCCCCCTCCAGTAAGTTAACTATTATAGTTTCACTGTTGTGCCATAAATCAAAGAAGAAGAAGAAGAAAAATGCTAAACCCTCAAGTCTCTTTACCTTCACATTTCGGGATTTTCTTCGTTGCACATGATATCTTCACCAACCATAAAATATAAAGCCTTTGTCGTTGATTGACAATATGTTGTGGAGAGACGTGAAGTTGCAGATGAGTTCTTATTTATTCATTTAATTTAATTGAAAAAATAACTAAAATTCATACACTCTGTTCAAGCCTGTAAGAGCAGTCAGAGGAGTCCTTTTATTTGAATAATCCCCCCAACTCTGTTTTAAACAGAGGATTGGTCAATATTGTACTGCAGAGGATTGGTCAACAGCAACCATCTGGGGCAATATACTAGTCTATTAAACCAATAATTGAAGACACAAGTTCTTGCTGGTTTGTATACAACAAGAAATGGGTTCTTCAAGGTTGCTCATCTTCTTCATTGCAATTCCTATTATCTTGGACCTTGTTGCTCCTCCTGCCGTAGCTCAAATCAACGACGGTGTGTGCACTTACACAGCCGACTTCTGCTGGAGATGTTCCAATATTGGCACCTACAATGATGGCAGCATCTACCAAGAAAACCTCAATAACCTCCTCTCCTCCTTCTCATCCAACAATACACAAATCAATTATGGCTTTTACAATTCATCAATGGGACAAGACCCCAACAAAGTGAATGCAATTGCTTTATGCAGAGGAGATGTGTCCCTCAACGACTGTCACACTTGTGTCAACGAGTCCAGTCTCATCCTCTTCAAGAATTGTTCGAACCAAGACGAAGCGATCATTTGGGCGGAGCGTTGCATGGTACGATACTCGAGCAACTTAATATTTGGTGTTGAGGAAGATGAACCTATTAAGTATGTCCCTGGCATAAGTAACGCAATTGACGCCGTCCAGTTCAATTTGGTGCTTAATCTCTTCTTGGATTCTTTGACTGAGAAAGCTTCATCAGGGGATTCTCTTAAGAAGTTTGCAGCTGGACATGTGACCATCCAAGGAAGCACAACAAATCAATCAATATATGCACTTTTGCAGTGCACTCCAGACATGGACAAGCAAAGCTGCAGCGATTGCCTTAAAGGGGCCGCCTCAAAAATTCCGGAATGTTGTGGCGGAAAGCAAGCAGGCAGAGTTCTTAAACCCAGTTGCAATTTGAGGTATGAGGCCACTCTGTTCTATGAGTCTACAGCTGATTCGCTTGTAACTCTTCCATCCGTAAAAGGTATGGTGCCCCTGCATATATGTTTAAACTTAATCAATGCCTTAATTACAATTTACAATTGATTAATTTTTCTTGCAGGAAAGAAGAGCACCATATCAAAAACTGTCATCATCGTCATCATTGTGGTTGTGATTGTTTCTGTCGTTACACTACTTATTGGCGTATTGATTTTCATAAGAGTGAGGAGACAAAGGGCAAAACTAAAACTTGAAAGTAAGTAGATTGAGATAAAGACACATTTGATTTGTGTTTGATGCATGCATCTTATTCTTATTAGATGTTTTGGAACATGTCCTGACTAATTTGTCCTGTTTCAGATGATAATAATTCGGATGAAATTAGTTTGGTTGAATCTTTGCAATATGACTTCGACACTATAAGATCTGCAACGGATGACTTCTCTGATGCAAATAAGCTTGGACAGGGTGGATTTGGAGCTGTTTACAAGGTAACGAAACACTATCACAAGGAAAAAGATTCGTCATGAATGAATTGTTTTGCGTAATTAACTTTTCTAATTTTCTTATAAACCTTCAGGGTAGGCTAGCGAATGGAAGATATATAGCTGTGAAAAGGCTCTCTAAGAATTCTGAACAGGGTGATCGAGAATTCAAAACTGAAGTCACGTTAGTTGCTCAACTTCAGCACCGGAACTTAGTGAGGCTGCTAGGTTTTTGCTTGAAAGCAGGGGAAAGAATCCTCATTTATGAATATGTGCCTAACACAAGCCTTAATCACTTCATTTTTGGTATGTTTGCTCTACTTTTTGTCATAATTCATAATCATTTCTGCCTCGATTTATATTATAAAAAAGCATATTAACAAAATCATGTTTCATTTTGATGGAATTGTATTTAGATCCAACTGATCACGCACATTTGGATTGGGAAACACGTTACAAAATCATAGGAGGCATTGCTCGAGGGCTTCTTTACCTTCACGAAGATTCCCGACTTCGAATTATTCACCGTGATCTTAAACCTAGCAACATTCTATTGGATGAAGATATGAATCCTAAAATTGCGGATTTTGGCATGGCAAGATTGTTTATGATGGATCAAACTCAAGGAGATACTAAGACAATTGTGGGAACCTAGTAAGTATCTGCAAATTTGAAAGCTAAATTACATTGTTGTGCTTGTTCACACCATAACTAAATTTTTAATTTGATGAATATAATAATGCAGTGGATATATGGCTCCAGAGTATGCAATTCATGGACGTTTTTCAGTCAAGTCGGACGTCTTTAGTTTTGGCGTGTTAGTTCTTGAAATCTTAAGTGGTAAAAGGATTAGCAGTTTTCAAAACGGCGAGAATGAGGAGGATCTCTTAAGCTATGTGAGTATGAATATAAGGTTTTACATTACCAAACTCTTTTGCTACCAAAAAAACCTGACAAGAGAAAACAGCATCATTTCTTCTTTAATTAAAGTGTTTATAAACTTGATAGGCCTGGAGGAATTGGAGGGATGATACAGTGGCAAATATCATGGACCCAAAGCTGACTACAGGTTTAGGAGTTGAAATGATGAGATGCATCCACATTGGTTTGCTATGCGTCCAAGAAAATGTGGCAAGCAGACCATCCATGGCTTCAGTTGTCTCTATGCTTAACAGCCATTCTGTCACACTCTCACTGCCCTCACGACCGGCATATTATTTGCAATATAACAGTGTATCAGACATAACAGGGTCCGATGAATCCAAAAACTCTATGCATGTGTCAGGAAATAAGAATTCAAATTTTACTGAACCATATGCTCGCTAGTGGGGTGGGGCTGAGTATGTATCAGGAACAATTTATTTTCTTTTCTTTGATATGCGTGTTTGATTGATATATTTGAACAACTCCAGCTAAAGTTAAATATTTTATGTACATAAAGTAAAACCAGATTGTCGTTTATTTGAGAGGCCAAATTAAACTTGACGGGTGAGAAGCTTGGTTCTAGCCTTGAACTGAGGTCTAGCTGCTTCTACCTGGTTCGTGTAATTCTGGCTCAGTTTGCAGTCTATCCTTTCTGGTTTCTTTGAAACCAGATCTTGAACCAAAAAAACAAAGTTAAGAGGACCATGGTGATGGTGGATCCAATTTGTTTTGGTATCGATTTTGATATCAAATGCCAATCAGGACTGGAAACAAATTTTCAACAAAACCCAAATCCAGCCAACCATATAATCAAGCCAACACAAACCAACCAATAAATTTCGGATTAATTTGGGTTTGGGTTTGGGTTTGGGTTAGGTTAATGGATTTAGGCCCATATTAAAATAAAAAGAAGAACTAGAACCCAATATGACGGGCAATCCCAGCTAGCCCATTCTTTTGCTCCACTAGTGCTTTCAAATTCAATCAGAGACTCTTCTCCTCCAGATCTACTATAAGCTTCCAAGAGATGACGAGAGAGAGAGAGAGAGAGAGAGAATGAGAGAGCTGCTGTAATTTCAACCCCCGCATATTATAGAAGCTCCCAAGAGATGACAAGAGTTCAGGCACATTCTTTTGCATCAACAGATTTTGGTGGACTGACTTGTCAGACGAATATACCTCGTACTTTACCTTGTTCTTTTTGGTCACATCCATTAGAGTCTGCATTCATCCATTCCATGCAGCTGCCTAATTCATCCATTCCATGCAGCTGCCTCTTTTAAAAAATATATATATATTTAGAAAAGCCACTGATTAAAGATTTGTTTACTGATTAAAGTCCTTTCCTCTTAACACTTGAAAATGGAAAATATCATATTCATCAAAAAAAGAAAATGGAAAATATCATACGCTATATGGGATTGGTCAATATCGTACCACAAACGTAAGATCGAATTAAGGGTCAGGAAACCGTCAAGGAACTAATGTCTTTCCTTTATAAGACAAGTTGCTACTTGCGAGTTGAGCAAGAAAAATGGGTTCCTCAAGATCAATGCTTTTCTTCATTAATCTTGCTATTATTATCTTAAACCTTGTTGCTCCCACCATAGCCCAAGATGATGGTATGTGCACAGAAAAAGCTGAGTACTGCTGGAAATGCTCTAATACTGGCACCTACACAGCAGGTGACAAGTACCAAGAGAACCTCAGCAGCCTCCTCTCTTCCTTCTCCTCCAACACCCAAAACAATTCCGGGTTTTACAATTCATCCAGGGGACAAGACTCCAACAAGATCAATGCAATTGCATTATGCAGAGGAGATCTTTCACAGGACTCTTGTCAGGCTTGTCTCAACAAGTCTACTGATATTCTCTTGCAAAATTGTTCAACTCAAAAGGAAGCAATCATATGGGCAGAGCCTTGTATGGTGAGATACTCATACAACTTGATATTTGGTATTAAACAAGAGGACCCTCTTGAGTATGTGCCTAGCCCAAACCCTGCTAAAAATCCCCAACAGTTTGAGCTGGTGCTTAGCCCCTTGTTGGATATCTTAAGTGAAAGAGCTGCGTCAGGGGATTCTCTTAAAAAATTTGCAGCAGGCCATGCAACTGTCCCTGGAGATGAAACAATATACGCACTTGCTCAGTGCACTCCAGACATAGACAAGCAAAATTGCAGCAGTTGCCTTAAACAGTCCGTCACAGAAATTCAAACCTGTTGCGGTGGAAAGCAAGGAGGAAGAGTTCTTAAACCCAGCTGCAATTTAAGGTATGAGGTTAGTCTTTTCTTTGGGTCTACAGCCAATTCGTTAGTAGATATTCCAGCTCCAGTTCCGGCAGCACCAGCACCTGAAGAAGGTATGTATGGTATAGTATGGTTACCTCGCATATCTTCAATTTGATCCATGTCTTACTGTTGTGTGGTGTGGTTTTGGCTTTTGATAAGATATCCCATCTGATTTTCAGCAAAAAAGAAGAGTAACACAAAACAAACTGTCATCATCATCGTTGTGGTTTTGGTTGTTTTTGTCACTATTGACAGCAGCATATGCTTTTTCTTCAGAGTAAGGAAACGAAGGGTAAAACTTGAACAAGGTAAGTTCAACTCTGTTTATTTGTCTTATCTGAGGTTTTGGAACTCTGTTCGCTAATTCATTTTTCCCTTTTCAGATGAGAATTTGGAAGACGTTAGTCTGGTGGAATCGTTGCAATATGATTTTGAAACTATAAGATCTGCAACAGATGACTTCTCTGACGCAAATAAGCTTGGACGAGGTGGGTTCGGAGCTGTTTACAAGGTAACACAACAATCGCTTTCACAAGAAAAAATCTATTAATCTAAGCATGGTTTCCTTATTTTTCTGTTTTAAACATTCAGGGTAGGCTATTAAGTGGGCAACCTATAGCCGTGAAAAGGCTCTCCAAAAATTCTGAACAAGGTGATCGTGAATTTAAGAATGAGGTCATGTTACTTGCTCAGCTTCAACACCGGAATTTAGTAAGGCTCCTAGGATTTTGCTTGAAAACAGATGAAAGGCTTCTCATTTACGAATACGTACCTAACACAAGTCTTGATCACTTCATTTTTGGTACATTTTATTTCATATATTTTATAGTAATTTCTTAAAGATTAAAAAGTTCATATTTCATTTAATGAAATTGTATTTAGACCCAAACAATCACGAGCATTTGGATTGGGAAACACGTTACAAGATCATAGGAGGCATTGCTTGAGGGATTCTTTACCTCCATGAAGATTCTCAGGTTCGAATTATTCATCGCGATCTCAAAGCCAGCAATATTTTGTTAGATGAAGATATGAACCCCAAAATTGCTGATTTTGGATTGGCAAGACTGTTTGTTATTGATCAAACTCAAGGAGATACACAGACAGTTAGGGGAACCTAGTAAGTACTGTGATAATATGGCTAACTTATACTTTCATATTGAGCTGTCCTTACAACAGAAAGCTTCATTGAAAAACAAAAAAAACTTGCATGTCTAATAGATGGAATATAATTCATGCAGTGGATATATGGCTCCTGAGTATGTAATTCATGGTCGTTTTTCTGTCAAAACGGATGTCTTCAGTTTTGGGGTGTTAGTTCTTGAAATTGTAAGCGGTAAAAAGATTGGTAGTTTCCAATATGGCGAGAATGAAGAGAACCTATTAACCTATGTGAGTATGAATACATTAAAGTCATTATATATTCTCTGTTTTGCCTTGGTAAAATTTCTTTTTGAATATATTGATGTATTTTATAGGCCTGGAGAAATTGGAGGGAGGATACAATTCAAAACATCATAGATCCCGAGTTGATGACAAATTCACAAATCGAAACGATGAGATGCATCCACATTGGTTTACTGTGTGTGCAAGAGAATGTGGTGGACAGGCCAACCGTGGCTTCAGTTGTATCCATGCTTAACAGCCAGTCTCTCGCACTTCCAGTACCCTCACAACCTGCATTCTATATGCATCACAACGCTGGATCAGACATATCTGCACTGACTGAGTCAGACCAATCCAAAAGCCTCTCTGTCTATGTCACAGAAAATGACCCTTCAAATATTACTGAACCATATCCTCGCTAATGGTCGAGTACCAACCATTCTGTAACAAATTTAGGCTTTAAATTTTGGTTTATTTGCTATGTCAGCATTATAGTTGGTGTCTTCTTGCTTCAAGTTGGTATGTTCATCGTTAATAAAATGGCTTACCCTAGCTTCACTGTTATGCCTGTTTATCTTCATGCAGTTCTCTGTTTTCGAGCGGCAACAGAAGTTACTTTGATCAAAAGCTCTGTGCATGTGTCAGGAATTAAGGACTCAAACTTTACTGAACCATATGCTTGTTTGTGGGGCTGAGTATATATCAGCCATATTACAACGTTATGGCTTGCTGTGGAAGTGTATGAGATCCTTGATATCTTTTAATAACTGCAGCTGAAGTTAAAAATTTTCTCCACATAAAACCAGTTGTCATTTCTTTGGGAGGCCAAATTAAAATTAAGAAAGAACTTGTAGAATTATAGTTAGGGGACATGGTGGAGTGAATTCGTTTTGGTATCAAATGCCAAACTAAACTAATCAATCCGAACTGGAAACAAATTTTCAACAAAACCAAATCAACCCAAATCCAACCAACCAAATAAACAAGCCAACACAAGCCGTTGTGGGCACTCACCGGACTGTGTCAGAAAAGAAAGAGAGGGTCCTAGACCTTCTCGCTTGAACATAGGTGATGCTGGCCCTTCATATTAAATGGGGGAAGACCTTGGGCCGTCACATTTCAGACATCATCACCTGCACTCCAATAGGGACAGAGAGACTTTTCCATGGACAAGTTATTATCATATGGAGAGGGAAAGAGACTCACTTAAGGAAACTTTGACTTTGCCATAAAAGGGATCTAGTATATGCCGACTGTGCTGTGGCTCTTGCTCACTTTGAGGGGATTTGTGACAGCTTCTAGCAAGGGATCAGCTACTTTCGTGACAAAGCCAAAGCAGATTATTCGTTCATTGATTGGGATAACTTTCCAAGAGAGACAAATTAAGTTAAGGAGTGATAATAAGTTGGGTTTCAATTCCTAATCCTCACTGGAGTTTTAGTGGGGTGAGTCCAACTAGTTAGTTGTCTAATATTATGTTTCGTAGTATCCGTTTGTTTTATTTTGCTCCGGCCTATGGCCTTTTATGATTTCTTGTACCTTCGAGATTTTGAATAAGGTCAAAAGGATTCTACTTCCCGTTTGGTTTCTCACAATGTGTTTAAGTTTAAGCGTACTTCAATTCCCTTAGGGCTATCTTGGAATTAGAATGGGCCCAACTGACTGGCTCTAGAGGATTGATAACTTTAGGGTAGTGCTGGGATCAGCATGGATCCTATTGATTTCCCCTAGAGGATTGATAACTTTTAGGTGACATTGGGATCGTCATGTATCCAATTGACTGCCCCAAAGGATTGGTAACCTCGGGGTAGTGTTGTGATCGGCATGGATCCTATCGATTGGCCCCAAGGGATTGGTAGCCTCTGGGTGACATTGGGATTGGCCTGGATCTAATTAACTGCCCTATGAGGATTGGTAACCTTGGGGTAGTGTTGCGATCTATATAGATCCTATTGATTGTCCCTAGAGTTAGCTGTGTGGCTATACTTTTGACATCGTATGTAGTTTATAAAAAATAAATATAATTAAACTTAGTATCTTTAGGTCAACAATTTTTTTAAAAAAATTTCTTTTTAGTAATTAAGTAATATCTTATCATTTTTTAGTTACTTTCATTTGTAATTATGTTTTAATTATTAATTTTTAGTGAATAATTAATATTAAATATTTTAATTAACTTTATAAATTATTTCACTTAATAAATAGTAATAAATGTTTTTCATAAAATATTTAAATACTAATTATTCACTAACAAAATAGTAATTAAAACCTAATTACTAATTAAAGTAATTAAAAAAGAGAAATCCATATTATGCTATTGAAAGGTATAGCCTCACGTATAGCGGCTATACCTATGAAATACACCTCTAATAGAGCATAGCCGCGTGGCTATTCATTTGAAATATTCTATTTGTGGTGTAATTAAGTAATATCTTATCATTTTTTAGGTACTTTCATTGTAAATATGTTTTAATTATTATTTCTTTAATGAATAATTAGTATTAAATATTTTAATTCACTTCTAAAATTATATTACTTAATAAATAGTAATTAATTTTTTTCTTCAATAAAATATTTAAGTACTAATTATTCACTAACTAAATATTAATTAAAACAAAGCTACAAATTAAAGTAATTAAAAAAGAGAAATCCATATTATGCTATTTAACGGTATAGCCGCTCGGCTATACTTTTGAAACTTTCTATTTTCGGGTATAGCCCCACGGCTATACTGTTGAAATGCAGCAACTCATTTTGGTTAGCTATTATCTGTAGCTTGCTTGGTCTTGTGGAAGTGTATGTGATCCTTGATACGCATGTTTGATTGATACATTTGATTGATCCTTGGTTTTGGCTTTTGATAAGATATCTCATCTGATTTAATTCTGATCTCAAAAAAATTGCTAATGGATTAAAATTTAGAGTTAATTACAATTTTGGTCATTGGGTTTGGCTCGAAATCAATTATAGTCACTGTGATTTCAATTTTCCCAATTTCGTCACTATACTTGCAGTTGTTAACAAATCAAGAATATCATATTTTTGGCAATATGAATCCAAAAATATCAGATTTTGGCATGGCAAGAATGTTTGGAGTTGAAGATCAAACTCAAGAAACACCAAAAGAATTGTTGGCACCTATTAAAGTTCGATAATCTATCTAATTAATAATCTTAAATCTATATTTCGGCTTTAACCCACATGTCAATTATTTTGGCCTTGCAATTAGTGGTTACATGGCTCCAGAATATGCTATAGAGGGATTGTATTCGGTAAAATCGGATGTCTTTAGCTTCGGAGTGCTTTTGCTTGAGATCATGACGGGGAGAAGGAACTTTTTAGGCTTTCATCCAACAAATCATGCACCTATTCTTATAGGCTATGTAAGGTCTTTATTTGGGTTAAACTATACAAAAAGTTTCTCAAAAACTAATCAATGTAGCTTTCAATTTAAGAGTAGTACTTACATCTTTGAAGGGAATTAATTGCAGGCTTGGCAGTTATGGAACGAAACGAAAGGGTTGGAGTTGATGGATCCGTTGTTGAAGGACTCACGCAGTCCAAATGAATTTTTGAGATACATTCATATTGGATTATTGTGTGTTCAAGAAGATGCAAACAAGAGGCCAACTATGTCATCGGTTGTTCTAATGTTAAAAAGTGAAACCAGTAGTCTATCCAGACCTGAGAAACCAGCCTTCTTTACAGGAAGATCTACCGATCACCGTGATCAAGAAAACGCTCATCATTGCTCAGCCAATGGTTTGACGATTTCTAATGACTTGCCCCGTTGAGGAAGATGACAATTAAGTAAAGATCATTGTATTCCATTAATTAAAGGCTTATGTTGCACACAGAGACTCAGACGATGCTGTAAGCTTTATATATTTTGTTTAACACATGTCATTTTATTGAGAAAATGTTAATTATGCACTCGCCCTAAATCATAATTTCAATCACGCTGAGATCAACTAGTTTCTTAGTACTCAATACGTTTCCTTAGGAGTTGAATTTGCTATTCAGTTTGTGATCTAACCACTCCAATTGGTGCATATCACTCTAAAGTATCTGGAAAATTTATCATAAATTCGCATCAAGTCTGCAGATTAACATGAATGGATACATATACCAAATTGTAATTTTAAGTAATTAAGTAATATCTTATCATTTTTCAGTTACTTTCATTTGTAATTATGTTTTAATTGTTATTTCTTTAGTAAATAATTAGTATTAAATATTTTAATTAAATTCAAAAACTAAAAGCAGCCAATAAAGACGTTTGGCACGAGGACCACCAATCCAATGAGATGGCTTCCTTTATTGGATTCTAACGTGCCAATGCATCCCAGTCGAACAAGATATGTTGGAATCTAATACGTTTCCTTTTGTTATTCGTGCCATACTGATGTCCGCTTCTCGTTATTGAATTTAATATTAACGTATATTAAATTCATACACTAATGATTCACTAACTAAATAATAATTAAAACATAACTACTAATTAAGTAATTAAAAAAGAGAACTTCATATTATATAGCCGCGCGGCTATAATGTTGAAACTTTCTATTTAGAGGGGATAGCCGGCTATACTTTTGAAACTTTCTATTTAAAGGGTATAGCCGCGCGGTATATCGTTGTATATTCCACTTGTAGAGTATAGCCGCGCGGCTATACTGTTGAATATTCTACTTCATAAGGTTTAAAAGGGCAAGTAAAGTGGGTTAAATTTGTGGTTGACCCATAGCTTCGCACTTGTTTGCGATGAAATATTTCAAGCCTAGGCCGACTTAGATTTAAAATTAAATCTGGTGAGCTAATTCATATCTATCCTGCTCGTGCATAAGCTCAGAAGTCAATATTTTCATATCATTTCAAATTATATTATTTATATATATTCATTATACGGGTAGCATTCAAGCAAATTCAAATATTATATATGAAAAGGCTGAAATTAACTAGGAATGAATTGACATAAAACGTGACCCTATTTGTTATGGATGCAGGCTTATATAATCATATGGGTGTGCAAGGGCGGAGTTAGAATTGTAAAAGTGGGGGGGTCGAAGTAGAAAATACAAGTATATAAAACACCTACATTCAATACTTAGGGTTTAATTGGAGGGAGTGTGAAAAAGTTGAACAGCTGTTTAGAAAGGAGGGAGGAGAGAGAACAAGTTGAGGGACTCATTCTAGTACAACCGTTTACAGCCCATTCCTTTGTCGAGGTGACGTCTCCCCTGGAGTCTGCGGTGACTTGGGGCAATAGACAATTGAATATGAGAATCTTGCAAGTGGATTGGACGAATTCACACCATTAAGTCAAGTACTTTAGTTTGGTTTTAGTTTAGAAACAGAGCAGCTTTCTTATTTATATTAAATTAATATATATCGTAAATTATATAAAATGGATGTGTTGAATTGAATGAACCAGTTTTTTATTTCTTTTTCTTTTCTTTTTTTTCCTTAAATTTGTGGCACCAAGTAATTACTGATGTAATTGTTTGATTACTTGATTGGTAAGTACTAATTAACTCGTTAAAACAAATTAACAGTGGCTCTTGAATCTTGCTCATGTCCGCGTGTTTAAGGGGACAACCCGATAACAGTGAGTGTCCAGACACCACAGGTCAGGCCTTCTCTTTGAAATGTCTAAGGAGAAACAAAGAAAGAAAAAAACCAAAAGCAAACGTACGCAAAACGAATTCTTGACTTTTGCTACTCCCTTTTGTCTTCCCAATATCCATCCGCAGTCAAGCAACCCTCTAGACCGGGGCAACAAGTAGAGTCAAGGTCTTCTCTTAATGTCCTATATACGTCTAAGGAGGAAAATAACCCTATTAGTCAAGGTCTTGTAATAACGTAACTAGTGGCTATGAGAAGAAAGCCAAGTCAGTGAACTTGGACAAAGCAGTCACCAGTTTTTGCTATAAAAGCCCAAGTTATTTTCATACGGAGGAACAAACAGAGAAATGGGTTCCTCAAGATTGCTAATTTTCTTCGTTCTTCCTATACTCTTGGTCTTGGCCCCTCTTGCTCCTACCATAGTGGGCCACCATACCAGGGGCGCTTGCACGAAGGAAGCAGACTACTGCTGGAGCTGCGTCGACAATGACGACATGCAGACTTTTAACAACGCCTCCAACAATGGCGGCATCTACAGAAAAAACCTCAACACCCTCCTCTCCTCTTTCCCTTCCGACCCCAAAATCAATCCCATATTTTACAGTTCTTCTCTGGGACAAGCCCCGGACACAGTGAACGCAATTGCCGTATGCAGAGGGGACGTTGCACCCGAAGATTGCCGCATCTGTTTCAAAAACTCTGTTCCCATTCTCCTGCAGTATTGTGCTGATCAGAAGAAAGGAATCATATGGGCAGAGCGCTGTACGGTTCGATTCTCGAACATCTCGATTTCCGGTGTGCTTAAAGATGAGCCTGTTAAGTTTGTGGATAGCCCAAATGAAATATCAAACGCTGAACAGTACAAGCAGGTGCGCGATCCCTTATTTGAAAATTTAAGTGAGAAAGCTGCAGCAGGGGACTCTGATTTAAAATTTGCAGCAGGGAATGCGTCGGTGCCTGTAACAAATGAAACAATATATGCAACTGTCCAGTGCAGCCCTGATTTGGACAAACAAAACTGCAGCGATTGCCTTAAAGAGTCCATCTCAGAAATTCCAGAGTGTTGTGGTAGAAAGGGTGGAGGAAGAGTTCTTAGACCCAGCTGTTATTTGAGGTTTGAGTCCAATCCTTTCCTTGAGAGTCTGGAGCAGATACCCTAATAAACCTTCCAAGGTATAATAATTTATTTTTGTTTGTTGCTTAATTTCTTGTTTGAGCCCCAATTAGTTAACACCACGTCGCTAACAAACAGAGCCTTGTGATTTTTGCAGGAAATAATATGAGGGGAAATAATACGAGTAACATTACAATAAAAGTGTCGCCACCGTCGTACTTACGATTGGGATTGTCATTATGCTTATTAATATTATCAGCATTTGCATTCTTGTGAGAGTCTGGAAGCGAAGAAGGGCAACAAAGTTTATTCAATTTTGTTTTATTACAATTTGGAATTTAACAAGGGCACTCTTCGTTTGTTAGTGCTTGAATTTGTCAAGACCCATGTAATAGGGATTACTCCCTTTTTTCTAATAATAAAAATAAGGATTATTCTATGTTTTTATTTATTTATTTATTATTTTACAATACGATAAGCCCAATTCAAAATGAATGCGCATGCCAATTTATAAACGCCAATTAGATTAATTTATAATAATTTAAAATATCCCAAGCATAAACTAAAATAAAATAAAATAAAAGAGGGTGCATTGGCACCACGCAAGCGGCATGAGGTGTCTTTGACTGCTTTTGTATTTATGTTTGCTTGAAATTGAAAACCATGTCATTGTCTTAGGCTTGAGCAATTAGAGCATCCACAGTGGGAGGTTGTATGTTAAATATACACCCCGAGTCACTGGAATCGTCTTCAATAGGGAGATGTAAATGGATGTAAATATACATCACCACCATGGGGATGTAAAATAAAATGTATATTTACATCTATTTTTACATCCCTTGTAGGCGGGACCCACCTGAGAAAAGAGAAAAAAAATGAAGAAAAGTCAACATAAAAAGCTGGGACCCGCGGCTACACCCTCAACTTACACCCCCTCACTAGAGCAAAAAACATATTTACACCCCCCGGAGGTATAAAGAAGATGTAAAAGTGGTTTTACACTCCCGAATTTACACCCCCCCACTGTGAATGCTCTTACAGACTGAACCAATCAACACCATTCTATATACAATATGCATGGAAATGTCATTGTCTTAATAGATGCAAAAATAAACCCCAAGATTTTAGCATGGCGAGGTAATATATTAGATTTTAGCATGGCGAGGTTGTTCGTGCTTGATCAAACAGATGGAAGTACCAATCGAATTCTGGGGACCTAGTAAACTAGCAATGGTGCCCACGCAATGCTATGGGTTTTAAAACCTTGTGAAATGTATACAAAGTTGTGAAAATATGTAGGAAAGATGGTACTATTTATATAAATAGTGGCATCATGCTTTGTTTAGCAAGTCTAAGTTACAAAAAATAGGATAATAACATGTTTTTTATGTTGTTTGTCATGTTAAAATACTGACCATATTTTAATAAATGGTTAATTACAGTTTAGTACCCTATGGTTACATCCTTAAGGCATGTTAGTCTCTATATTTTCAATTTTAACAATCACATACCTAGGTCTTTGAAATTTGTTACAATGTTGTTCTACCGTTAGGGTTTCTGTCAAATCTCTTTGTTAATTGCCTGCGTGGCACGGTGGGTCCCACATTTTTCAAAATTTTTAATTTTAAATTGATTAAAATATTAAAAACCAAAAAAATAAAAATCTCTCTCTCTCTCTCTCTCTCTGCGCGTTTTCTCTTTGCAACGATTTCAAAACCCAGCTCTCTCTTCTCCCTGCTCTCTACCCCATGACACCACCACCAGCTCTCTCTCTCTCTCTCTCTCTCTCTCTCTCTCTGTTGGTCATGAAAAAACTGGAGGTTGCTGGGTTCTTGGGTTTGTGTGTATTTGGGTCAGTGTTTATTTTGTTAGATGAAGGCCATGCCCTTATCCTTTGAGCAGTTTCAAGGGAAGGGGGTGTTAGATTTCTCTTCTTCAATTTCAGAGCCACAGCCCCCGCAAAATCAACATCTCCACCACCACCACAATCAGCAGCAGCAGCAGCAAAAGTGGAATCAAAACAGCAACAAGGAGAATTGCTATGTGGGCAACACTGAGCCCACCTCTGTTGTTGACACCAGAAGAAGCCCAAGCCCTTCCACATCCTCTTCAGCACTGTCTTCTTCTCTCGGCGGCGGCGGAGCCAACGGCAGTGGTGGTGGCGGTCCCCGAAATCTCCAAATTCCCCAATTTATCGGTCCCGTCACCGGCGAAGTTTTGACGAAGCGCCGCTCCCTTCTGAAAGAGAGTGGGATGAGCACCCACGGGAGGGAATACGTGAAGGGGTCTCAGTGGCTTAGCCCTGTTGAGTAGCTGAGCACCCCCAGAGCCATCGAAGCCTTGGAAGCCCGTAAGGCTGAAGTTGCCATCGAGCTCAGTGTCGTTGTTGGGCGTTGACAGCAACCGAGTCGTTGGGAACTCGACGCTCGAACTCAATTCGGGAGTACCCATCTGAGATTGAGAATTGATGGCTGTGAAACCCATCAAAGCAAAGGAATTGGAAGGTTGGTTTCCCTGGAAGGAGCTGAGAAAGCCACTGTCGCAGCCCAAATCAAAGCCATTGTCAAAAGGGTTGGTGGAGACGACGTTGAGGAGAGAAGAGAAGCAGGATTTGGAGGGGAACATCCAAACAGCGCTGCTGGACATCGGTAGAAAACTGAGAAAAGGGTAGAGAGAGAGAGCTGGGTTCGGGGTTCGTTGCAGAGAGAGAGAGATTTTATTAATTTTTTAGATTTTTTAAATATTTTTGGTTTTTAATATTTTATTCATATTTTAATCAATTTAAATTTTAAATTTTTTAAAAATGTGGACCCACCGTGCCACGTAGGCAACTAACAGAGAGATTTGACAAAAACCTTAACAACAGAACCACATTGTAATAAATTTTAAAGACCGGGGTATGTGATTGTTATAATCGAAAAGATATGGACTAACATGCCTTAAGGATGTAACCATAGGGTACTAAACTGTAATTAACCCTTTAATAAATCAAGTAGAAGTCAAAACATCAAAATATCGGTAATATTGAGCTGCTCATTGTTCAAAAGAGTTTGGATAGGTCTTTATATATATGCTACTAGGTGATGGAAGAGGATTTTTCAGCCTTGATCTCTGTTAGAAGGGATTCTTTCTCTTGTTAGCTTTGCTGTAGAGGTGGCTTATATTCTTTCTTATCCTCTGCGGAGGTTTTAACTATGTTGGTACAAATTTGGAAAATGACAGGTGTTAGTGTAGATAAATGAAAATTTTTGAGTGAAGACAATAATTATTATCACATAATTAAGTTCAAAAATCCAACAAGACAACACAATAATTTAGGTACATCAAGCATTCTATTAATATGATGGACAAAAGTATAACCCCAGTCTATTTAATCAACGGCCGCCAAAGCATCTCTAATAGTGAACGCAAATCTTCCATCGCTGCCCCCCAGCCAGGCCAACCAGCTAGTTCGAAATCAACTGGAAATGAACTCCTTCTCTGAGCGAACGAAACGTTCGCAGGGGAAGAAAGACAGAAGGAGAAGGGGCAAAAAGGGAATAGCAGAAAAGGTTAAGTGGAGAACATTTTCGACAATTCACTGTGTTGATGAGAAAACAAAATTGAAAATAATAGTAAAAGAGGGCATTTCCGTCATTACATTGTGCTTAAATACAGCGTAGAGTTGGATTGAACTTTAGTATATGTATATATACATTTTAGCGAGGCTTGATGGCTTATGTGACAATTGTGTGCGTTAATCTATATCAATAATCCAATTCATACTACTAACAAAATCAACTTTTATGTTATTGATATACAGTGTCTATATGCTTCCAAAGTTTGTGATGCATGGACACTTCTCTATTAAGTCGGATGTCTAATTTTAGCGTCTTAGTTTTAGAGATAGTAAGTGGACAAAGAAAGAGTTTTCGTCACGAAGAGAATGTGGAATATCTTCTGAGCTATGTAAGTAAAAAGGAAAATAACAGAATTTTTTTTTTTAATCTCTGATTATATTTCTACAAATTTAATTGACAAATTAATGGTTGCAGGCATGGAAAAGTTGGAGCGAAGGGACAGGTTCAAATCTAATAGATCCCACAATGGGGACTAATTCAAGAAGTGAAGAAGTTATGAGATGCATCCACGTTGGGTTATTATGTGTGCAGGAAAATATAGCTGATAGGAAAACCATGGCTTCTATACTTATGATGATCAATAGCTCCTCTCTCACTCTTCCAGTGCCCTGAAAACCAGCTTTCCTTTTGCACAGTGGTGTTGGATCTGACGTGTCTTCGGGATGTCAACGTAATTCAAAGGTGACAACCGGGTCAGATCTATCCAAGGGCAACTCTGTTGTTAAAGCACCAGAAGATGAGCTTTCACTGATCACCCAAGTATATCCTCGATAGTGCCTGCAGATACATGCATGCATGGAAACTACATTTATGAAATTATATATAATAATGTAATTTAGCATTCATTTTTGACGCAGCACTACATCAATTTTATTCAATTTTCTTCTAAATAATTTTTGTAATTTACCAAAAAGTAAAAAGGGCATCGCAAACCAAAGGAGTAAAGACTGAGAATGAATATTGGCTTGTTGACTTGAGAGAGAGTATATAACTTATAAGAAGTGTCAATGAAGCTAGAGATGCTGGTAACGAAGAAGCGTCAATCAAGCTAGAGATGCGAACTTTTTAAGCGTGGAATAAAGTATCGTGGAGGACTTTAATTTACTTCCAGATAATCAAAGTCTCCTCAAAAATCAAACCAGCTACCAGTCCCTTCTTTGTCAGCATCTTAGTTTCAACCGTGTTTGAAACTTGGGCTTGTCCAATATAGATCCCTACATTTTCTATTTCCTAAACATATACCCATCGCTCTATAAATCTGTGTGTAAAACCCAATTTCAAATTTAAATGACTAGTATGATATAAGAGGTCGTAGTATTTCTATGTTTTTACATCATTGCCACTAAACTTCATATTTTATTTATAATTTATTTCAAGCATTTCATTAACTGCCATAATTGTAATTAATATACTCCCTATTAATAGCATATCAATCACCCCATTTCTTTTAGTTGTCATTCCCCCTCACATCTCACCCCCTAAAATAACAAACAAAACAAAAAAAACTGTAAATTACATATCCAATAATGTACCTATGAAAAATATAATATAAATATATACATATAAAATATAGGTATATTATTTACCCAAAAAAAAAGTCAGTTACTTTGTAATTGCGTATATTTTTCATAATTAAAAATAGGTACACAATAATTTATATAAAATATAGGTACATTATTTACCCACAAGTACATTATTTTACAAATACCTGTAAATGTGTATAGGTACATTATTTGGAATAGATAATTATGTACACTTTTCATACTAGGTAAATTATGTTTTTCATAAAACAAACAAGTAATAATTACATTATTTTTTCAACATAATTAGTATGTACAGTTTTATTCATAAACAATTATAAAGTGGATTATTAGTCATGTATAATTCATAAAAAGAAAATAACATAAACATTTTATTAAACAAACCGATTACCTAAATTTGAATTTATTGTTAAATTTTTTTAAAAATGTTTCAAAATTAATTCCTACATCCATTACAACCATTTGGAGATCTTTCCAAATTCAACATCTGTCATTATATACAATCCAATTAAAAACTGTTTCCATATTGATTCCTACATTAATATACAAAATGCAATAATGGCTTAGTTGGGGGTATTTTTGGAATCTGAAAAGTACAATAAATCAGATTTTATGCTTAATTAGGTAACTTGCTGAGTTGGATCCTAGTCATGGGTTTTTACTTATACAAATTGGGTATTATTTATAGGAACAAAAAGCGAAGAGTTTTAGGTATGGCAAATTGAATTTGAAGGGTGTAAGCCAAATTTACTATTGAAACTTAACCAAATCCAAGAATGGTTTACCTTAACTTGTAGAGGTCGTTCCAACGATCCTAATGGCGGAAATAGCGCAAGAATTGGAGTTGTAGAATGAAATTAACGGTAGAAAGAAGTTTGAAGGAGGAAGAAGGCTGGGCGGGCTGGCTCTCTCTCTCTCTCGCTCTCGCTTGTCCAGCCCAAAAAACCATCCTTTCCCCATTCTTTACTCTTCGGAAACACCAACCCACACATGGGGAAAGAAGAGACCAACACGTGTCCTTTCAAACCTATTCCAGCGACACCTATGCTAAGCTGGCAAAAGTGGTCAACATTCAGCATGACACGTGTCCCTTACCTGGCCCAAGGATAGTCGCAGGATCAGATTACCAGTCAAGAATCTGACGCCCAAAATTTAGCCACATCATTTCTTGATTTCCAGTATTTCTAGATCTCCAAAAATTCACCGAGCACTGAAAAATACTACAAACTCATAAACACATGTACTTTCCTTTAATCACATCCAAATAACCATTTGATCTCAAGAAAAAAAAAGAAAAAAATTGTCTTGTACACTTCTAACAAACCCAAAATAATTCTCCAAAATTTTATAAATAGTTTTTAAGCACCATAAAATTTCCTGGGTGTCACACGTACACATACTGTAACATAACATATTTAGGTTTGAGATTTTGTAGCACCTGGTATCTTCTTGCTTCAAATTCAAATGACTAGCTTCTCGTGGCTTCATTATTATGCCTGTTTATCCCCATGCAGTTCTTACACTCAATTATTTCTTAATTTCCTATCACCTTTTGCACAAAAGAATAATTGGATGAATTGTCTATCCTCGGTTCAGTTTGAGTGATGAAGTGGGTTAAAAGTTTTCAGATTCCCATTGCTTTCAATTCTGGATACATTGTTATCTGACAGTTTTTGCTTGATATGCGTGCTTGATGTCTTTGAACAACTGCAGGTCGAGTTAAATATTTTGTGTACATAAAGTAAAACCAATTTGTTATGGTATCAATTTATCAAATGCCAAACTAATCCAGACTGGAAACAAGTTTTCAACAAAACGCAAATCCAATCAAGCCATATTAAAATATTAAAATAAAAATACATTTTTGCATGAGATTTTGATTGATGGACTGACGGAAGAATATACATCGTAATTGCTTTGTTCTTTCCGGTTGGCCCACATCA